CCAGTATTTAAATTAAAGAGTTGTGAAACTTAACTCTGATAGGAAACAGTTTCAACTGATTTTCTCTCTCCAACCTCTTGGTTCCACATGGAGGTATATTTGGCCCCCTGCTGCTCTGAATACCATGTTATTGTGATTCCAGTAGATGGGTTGGTTTCCCAGGTTCATTCAGAACCATGTAAAAATGGAGCTATATGGTAATAGGATGTTCTTTGCAAAGATACAAAGTCAAAATTAACAGAAATTATTTTAGTTATTCAACTGTCATAAAAGACAAAATGATGTTCAGAATATCAAGTTATATTTTCACCATGTGATTCATTCATTTATAAATCCCATCGTTCCAAACTAAATATTTAATTGTCAAACTACAAATTTAGCTTCAAACTAAATGTTTTTAGTCACCCAGCAGACTGACTAAAGACATTTCTCCCTCTTCCTCCTCTATCAGACCTTCTCTGCTCCTGCAGCAGGTTCCTCCATACCTGAGAGCTTCCAGTTCAGTAGGAAATAAAAATCAACATCAGTCACATATACAATGGATGAGGAAATCTAACAACTGCTGGGAGGAAGGATCTGCACCAGGATGCAGCAACCTGTCAAATATCCAGAGCTTCACTATCAATTTTAGCCTGAACCCAACCTTTCTAAATTTCTCTCTTCTTGGTTCATTCAGGCTGCAGCAAAGGAAAAACAGCCATGTTTGTTTGTTGAGACTTAGCATGATTACCCATCTCACAGTAAGACATTTATTATTATTTTACTCTACAATTGAAAAAAACATTTGCATCAGAACTGATAAAATGAAATGGACAGAAATCTGGTTTCACCAGGATGTAGAACATTTTACCTGAGAGTTTCCAGGTTGCAGTTTGGACTCTTCAGTCCAGCAGAGAGAAGCTTCACTCCTGAATCCTGCAGGTTGTTGTTACTCAGGTCCAGTTCTCTGAGACTGGAGGACTGGGAGCTGAGAACTGAGGACAGAGCTTCACAGCTTCTCTCTGAGAGGTTACAGACACTCAGTCTGAGGAGACAGGGAGGAAAATATGTTATTAAACAATTCATAAAAATTAATATTTTTTAATGTTTCTCGTGGACAGAGAAGGATCTATCTTATTTTATACATATTTATGATGCCTTTCATTGTGAAATGGTTCATTCTATAATTGGTCCTCCAGCCTTACAGTTTAGAACTACAGCCAACAAGGAGGGTGGAAAGAAAATTAGAAAATTCCACAATTAACTAAATTAATACAATTTAAATTTAAACATAAAGAGGGGTTTTGCTGCTGTAATATGTAATAGTATTCTCTGTTGCTGTATCTCCTTTACATATCCCCCCAGTGAGACACTTTGAAGAGACAATGCACCAATATATAAACTGAAACATGAATTTACATTTACATCATTTTATGTCTGTCAAAAATAACTGCATTAACATTCTGTGTCCTTACAGAGCTTTGTTGGAGGCTTTAACCACTGGCAGCAGCCTCAGAAGAACCTCCTCTGAAGCAGAGTATTTCTTCAGGTCAAACACATCCAGATCTTTTCCTGATGACACTAAGATGAAGATCAGAGCTGACCACTGAGCAGGAGACAGTTTATCTGTGGAGAGACTTCCTGAACTCAGAGACTGTTGGATCTCCTCCACTAGAGAACGATCATTCAGTTCATTCAGACAGTGGAACAGATTGATGCTTTTCTCTGCAGACACATTCTCACGAATTTTATTCTTAATGTACTGAACTGTTTTCTGATTGGTCTGTGAGCTTCTTCCTGTCTTTGTCATCAGACCTTGTAGGAGTCTCTGATTGGTCTGCAGTGAAAGTCCCAGGAGGAACCGGAGGAACAAGTCCAGGTGTCCATTTGGACTCTGTAAGGCCTGGTCAACAGCTCTCTGATGGAGAGACTTTAGTTTAGGTTTATTAAATAATGAAGATTTCTTAGATTCTTGTTTTTCTTCCATGAGGTTGACACCAGAGTTGATGAAGGTCAGATGAACATGAAGAGCAGCCAGAAACTCCTGAACACTCAGATGGACGAAGCAGAACACCTTGTCCTGGTACAGACCTCTCTCCTCTATAAAGATCTGTGTGAACACTCCTGAGTACACTGAGGCTGCTCTGATATCGATGCCACACTCTGTCAGGTCTGATTCATAGAAGATCAGGTTTCCTTTCTGCAACTGATCAAAAGCCAGTTTTCCCAGAGACTCAATCGTCTTCCTGCTCTCTGGACTCCAGTGTGGATCTGTTTCAGCTCCTCCATCATACTTGACCTTTTTCACTTTGGTCTGAACCACCAGGAAGTGGATGTACATGTCAGTCAGGGTTCTGGGCAGCTCTCCTCCCTCTCTGGTCTCCAACACATCCTCCAGAACTGTAGCAGTGATCCAGCAGAAGACTGGGATGTGGCACATGATGTGGAGGCTTCGTGATGTCTTCATGTGGGAGATGATCCTGCTGGCCTGTTCCTCATCTCTGAATCTCTTCCTGAAGTACTCCTCCTTCTGAGGGTCATTGAACCCTCTGACCTCTGTCACCATGCCAACACACTGAGGAGGGATCTGATTGGCTGCTGCAGGTCGTGTGGTTATCCAGAGGAGAGCAGAGGGAAGCAGTTTCCCCCTGATGAGGTTTGTCAGCAGAACATCCACTGAGGTGGACTCTGTAGCATCAGTCAGGATCTCCTTGTTGTGGAAGTCCAGTGGAAGTCGACTCTCATCCAAGCCATCAAAGATGAACAGAACCTGGAAGTGTTCAAAGCTGCAGATTTCTTTGGTTTCAGTAAAGAAATGATGAACAAGTTCCACCAAGCTGAACTTTTTCTCTTTCAGCACATTCAGCTCTCTGAAGGTGAATGGAAATATGAACTGGATGTTCTGGTGGGCTTTGTCTTCAGCCCAGTCCAGAGTAAACTTCTGTGTTAGGACTGTTTTCCCAATGCCAGCCACTCCCTTTGTCATCACTGTTCTGATTGGTTGATCTCTTCCAGGTGGGACTTTAAAGATGTCTTCTTGTCTGACTGTTGTTTCTGGTCTGTGTGGTTTCCTGGATGCTGTTTCAATCTGTCTGACCTCATGTTCATCATTGACCTCTCCAGTGCCTCCCTCTGTGATGTAGAGCTCTGTGTAGATCTGGTTCAGAAGGGTTGGACTTCCTGCTTTAGCAATTCCCTCAAACACAGACTGGAACTTCTTCTTCAGACCAGATTTAAGTTGATGTTGACAAACTGCAGCAAGTTGTCCTAAATTAACACAATAACAACATTCATATATGAAAGTAAATCCTTTTTGAATTTGATTTTGTCACTTCAGCAAATGTGTAATTTATCTATTATTTCAAATCTCTTTAGAAATCCTCTTACTGAGCTGCAGAAGGTCAGCCAGCTTTTCCTCCTTCATCCTCCTCAGGAAGTTCAGTGTGATCTTCATCACTGCCTCTCTGCTGCTCCTCCTCTGTTCTTCATCATCACCTTCCAACACCTCATCATCTCTCTGACTCTCTGAATGTTCTGGGTAATCTGGACTCAGAACTTTCTGGATCTTCTTCAGTTCTTTCTTCACAAAAGTAACAATGTTGTCCTCCAGCAGCTGGAACAGAATAATAGATGAAGGAAACATCAGAGTGAAATCATGGAGCCAAACACCAGATGGATGTTGGACAGACTGACAGTCCTCTGGTCTACAAAGTGCAGCATGAAGGTGACTTTGAACAGAACTCATGGAAAAGTATTTGTTGTTCATATACAGACCATAAATATGGAGTCCAGCTGTGTTTGATGCTGCTGGGCAGATGGACCCCTGGGAACCTCTGAGCTCTGCTGGTCCACTCTGTGGAGGAACCAGGAACAATTAGGAAGTGAAGAAATATTCATCTGGAGGTGAGCAGTGAACCAGGTGATCTAAGTAGTTGTAAAGATTTAATGTTCCTGCTGATCCCATTAAGAACCAGCAGAACCTCTGATGGTCCACATCAGCTCTGTTTGGTTGAGTTCCAGCAGATCTCACCAACCACATCATGAAGCTTTCCTTCCCTGCTGAACTGCTCTCACAATGCACACAGGAACCAAGTCCTGATGGACCAGAACGGCTTTACCAGGTATTTCCCAGTGGAAATATGATCCACTGTTAGTTTGACATGGAGCCAGGAAGCAACAGAACATCATCATCAACATCCAGAGATAAAGATATGAAGGTGTTTTCATGAGAACAGAGCAGCTGATTTCTGTAGATAATGGATCAAACCTCTGGAAATATAACTGGAAACATCTGAGTTCTTACTGGTTCAGTTTCCATCGTTACAGCAATTAGATACAGCTCACCTCTCTGATGATGGAGATCCAGGAGATTTAAGGCTGGGTGGTTCGTCCTTTGACATGTCACTCTTAAAGGAGACACAGCTGGGTTCTGGTTCTGGTTCTGGTTTGAATCTCTGATGGATCCTGACAGAAACATGATGAATTAAACTTAATCAGCAAAGAGGAGCAGCAGCAGCTTCATCACCACGTCTGTTCTGGCCTGATATAGTGAACGCTGTGTGAAAAGGGCTGTGGACAGTTAGAGATGGTGACCTCACCTCTGACCTTTGCTCTGGCTCTCATCTTCCCCACACAGAGTGGTTTTAGAGGGAGGGACTCCCTCCTCTCTGTCCTCACACTGATCCATGCTGCTGAATCCACATCAGCTCACACACACTTTCTAGCTTCACCTGCAGAGGAAACACACATCATTCATCTGCACATCAACTCTGATCATCCTTTACATCATTAGTGCTGGAAAAAGATCAGCTGCTCCTCCTCTGATTGGCTCTTCTTCTCTGCTTCATATCAGTGTCAGGTGAATGCAGTGAGACAGCAGAGAGGCAGAGGAAGCTGCCATCAGCTGCTGCACTTCTACTATCAGTCCACTAGATGGAGACATGGAGCAACATTTACATTCACTGGTTCAACCTGAACAGGAAGTATTTTAGTTAGTTAATTTTTAAACTCTACAAGTGGATTATCTGCTACATCAAAGTTCAACTAATTAATAATCTGACTGAATCAAAGACATTTGAAAAATAATATGTCATTTTGAAACAAAGCAGTGAGAAACTGTTGTGTTTGACATCAATTGGTGAGTCTGGAGATTGATTTCAGGAACTAAAATGATGAATTATTTCAGAGAGGAAAACAGTGAAACATCAGCTGTTCATCATTTTGATCGATTCCAGTTTATCAATGACCTAATAATCCTGTAGATTAGCTTTCAAACAGCAGAGATTTTAGTTGTTTAGCTGAAATCAGAAGTGAACATTTTGTCCAAACATCAGAGCAGAAACAAGCAGGAATATCCTGATGACAAAGTTCAAGTAGGAAACAAAGCAAACTTACAGTTTGTTCAAATGATCCAAAGAATTGATGAAGAAAATCTGAACAACAAGCTGAGACCCAACAGAACCACGGTAAATCCAGACTGGTGCCACAAATAAACAGGTTAGTTTAAACTTTCAGTTTAAATTTTCCAGTCCTGACTTGTTTCTCCTTCAGAGGAGAAACAAGTCAGGACTGGTCTGACTGAGTGGGAGACAGAGGAAAGTTATTATGTTGACGCCTGAAGACAGGATCACTTCTCATAAAACTGGATCTGCTGTTATTCTGCTGATCCAGGTTCTGTTCAACACCAATGGAACCAGAACCTTTTTAACTTGGAACCAACTGAACTCTTTGAGTAAAATGAACTTTGTTCTTTTATTTTAAGAACTACTGACAACATTTCATTTTAATTTATTAGCAGAAAATGAGAAATGGTGAAAATAAGGAAAAAGATCTTCAGACCTCAAATAATGCAAAGAAAACAAGTTGATTTAGAAACAATACTAATATATGAACTCAGGAAGAGATCAGAAATCAATATTTGCTGAATAACCAGGAGGTTTTCAATGAGCTTCAGTGCAGTGGCCTCTTCTTTTCTTCCAGAGCTGCATGTCAGAGACGGTCAAAAGTGATCAGAACCAGAACCAGTTCTAAGGTTTCATTATGAATGACTTTAGGGTTTGTTTGTTTCTGCTCACCTGGAACACCAGCTGGGTGGAGTCAGTCTGAGTTCCTTCATCATCTAAAGAGAACATTGAAGATCCTCCTGGAAAAATGGAGCTTTGGAAAGAAATCAGCAGGAAGTGAAAGAAAAATGGATCTTCATCACTTGTGAAGTGGACGACATCAGAGTTGGATTCAGTGGAGTCACATGAAGAACAGAAAACTGAGGCTAGAATAATAAACATCATGCTAAATATCAGCTGCAGCTAATCTGTCAGAAGAAGCTTCAGGTTGAATCTAAAGGAGGCTGAAGATCTCAAAGTGGATGAGAGGAAACCTGATGAGCTCTACAGTCCACTAGATCCAGATCAGAACCCTGGAGAACATCTACGCTGGAAGCAGAACCACAAGCTAGAAAATATCCAGGTTTCTATCCAACCTGAACACAGGAAGTCCTTTCTTCTTCTGCTGCAGCTGAGAAGGTCCTGCTGCAGAACTGGAGCCACACAGTTCCTCCACAGCAGAACAGAAGAGGTTCTGGAGGAGACCAGGGTCCACATCTGGACTCAGAGTTCTCCTGAGCTTCAGCAGAGCTGCTGGCTTTGGTTCTGATCCGCCTCTGTTCTGGTGTCTGATCTCCAGAGAGGATCTGAACCGACCCATCAGAACTCAGTGGAGGTGGTGGAGGATGAGGATGGGGCGCGGCGAGGTTTTTGCTACCAGAAACATCGAGCCAGGAGAATTCTTGCTGGAATATGTTGGAAGACACATCACTGGCTCTGAGGGAGAGAAACTGTTTGAACAGTATTCAGAAGTGGATGCAGCATTTTTGTATTTTAACAAATTCCAAGGACAAACCCACTGGTAAGTTCAAATAAACCTCCAAACTATGAGTCTAAGTCCAGGAAAAAGTATAATTTTGTCTATTTATTCATTTTTTTATAGCATTGACGGCAGTAAAGATACAGCAAGACTTGGAAGATTCATGAATGATGACCATGTCAAACCAAACAGCAAAATTAAAATTGTAAGTATCATAGTCAGAAGTCACTCTTTGTTAATTTATTATCTGTTTCATTAAAAAAAAAAAACAGACTGAAATTAATTTGTGTTTGTGCCTTTGTGATCAACACGTGTTGGATGAGCAAAAAAAAAAATGCATCTCTGTCCATTTGCTATCACAAAAATACATGCAGGGGAAGAAGTGGTCTTTGATTATGGTGATCCTAACTGTGAATGGCGACAGGTATGTAACTTTTATTTACATATATTTATATTTTCTTCAAAGCATGTTTTCCCAAATAACATAAATCTTAGCGATTATATCTTCATATTTGATTTTTGTGCTATATAAACCTTCACAAATTCCTTTAAACATCTGAAAACTCAAAATTCAAAGTAAAATTTCAAAATACTGTCCATGATTAAACAAACCATTGTTTTAATCCTGCATAATTCATTTAATGCTGTAATTGTAATTTGTTTTAGAAGCCCGCTTCATCATCTGGGAAGAGCAGATGGAAAAGAAGGTAAAGATGTGTGGCAGTTTCATTCTTCATCTACATTCACTGGAGAAATTCTATAATTTTTCTAGTATATTACATGCTTGTTCTATGTATTTAATTGGTTTTCTATCAACTAATTGAGATTTTTTTTGCTCAACATTAAAGGAATCCCGGTGGAAGAGCTCTCTGGAAAATCTGCAGACTGAGCCTGACGTGAAAAAAATTGATGACCTTGTCTACAATCTGAACACTAAGATTAAAATGGATGCAATGGAGCAGAAGTCTTTTTAGGACTCTTGTCTGACCGTGCTGTCGCAGTGAAGAGAGTTGTCAAACATGTTGCCAAAAACGAATTGAAAATTCCAAACTTTTTATGTTCAGAAAAATTACAGATGAAACATTTGTTGCAGCTCCTTGCTGTGTTGGAAGACTCAGACTTTGTCTATTTTCTCTCCCCTCTTTGTGAGTATAATCTCAAGGACTTGATCGAGAATAAGGATTTTCCGGAACGACAAAACCTGACTGACCAGTGGAGATTGAAAATCTGCGAGGAGTTATTGCTTGGACTTCAGGAACTCAACTCGCATGGAATTTTGCACATGGATCTGAAGCCTGAAAACATCCTGTTTGGTGAATTAAGCTGAATGGGCAAATTGTACTGTACTGTGTATTTTATGGTTTCTCCTACATAGTATGTTGTTTTTAAGTTATTTAAATGTTTGTATTATCATTATTATTATTATTGTTTTAATTTACACACATATTGAAACACATAGAAAGGTGTATATATGTGTGTGTGTGTGTGTGTGTGTGTGTGTGTGTGTGTGTGTGTGTGTGTGTGTGTGTCTGTGTGTGTGTGTGTGTGTGTGTGTGTAAAACAAAAGTGCACACTTTGATAAGATTATGTTGTGATAATTTTATGACAAATTATATTTTATTTGTCTACAGATATAAACAATAAGATATATATTGGAGACTTTGGGGCAAGCAAACTGGATCCAGCACAAAGCACCACATTTTCCAACATGGTTGTAACTGTATCCTGGATAAGTTATGAGTATGCTATGGAACACAAATACAAGAAGGGTCAGAAGTCCAGGTATGTTGACATTGAAATACTAATAAAACTGTCGGGTGTTGGAGTTAGGCTGGGTGGGGAACCTTTTCTTTCCCACCAGATGGAGCCAGAGGGTGGCAGTCGTTGGAGGGTGGATCCCGCGCACCTGTGCGTAATCGCATCATCGCAGCCAGCATAAGAAGAGCGGGCAGGCGGTTCTCCAGCTTGAGTGTTATCCTTCAATGGTACTCAGAGCCCCCTCTGAACCTGGTGTCGGTGTTGTTGTGCGTGTTTGCAAGCAACTAGAGACTATTCTGAAATTTCTCTCTCACAGGATTATCTCCCGCGGAGCCGCGGAGAAGTTCTTCCTGAGACCGTGAAGCCTGATCCAAGAACTGCCGAGACTGGCCGAGACCCGCTCTTTACCTGCCTGCCCTCCAACGGCAAACCCATCTGACGCCAACCCTCGGATCTGGACCGGACCCCTCCACCTGTCAGTCACTCCCCCCCTCCTCCCAGCGGAGACCACATCCATACCAGTAAGCCCGTTCCTGTACTCTGTTGATTTTTTCCGTATTATTTCACTTACCTCATCTCTCACCGTATTTAGCACGGAGACGACCCTCACCCAAGACCCCCCTCCGAGACACATCACAGAATTTCTATTTATTTTTGTTCCAATAAACTTATTTCATTTTTCCAAATCGCTTCTCCTCGTTTGTGCGCCTGCATGTGGGTCAGGCGTGTTGCTTCAAATATGACAAAAACTGCATATGATGTTTGTTTTTTGCTTATCATTTTTCACTATGCATTGTTTGGCAAGTACATTTTCAACAGTTTATTAAAGAAAGGTTATTATTGTGACTGCTACAGAACATTGTTTTAATGTAATCTGTAATTTTAGGTTGCGGGATGCTTGTTGCATTACATCCTGACAGATGGCCAACATCCCTTTCAAACCACAACACCATACTTTGAGAAACCCTTTCAGATATTTGAAAATGTCAGAATGGGAAAATTCACTCTTCTATGTGATGAAAAATGGAGCAGCCAAACAAATATGATTTCCCGGATGCTGAGTACATCACTTAAAGATCGTCCCACCATTGAAGAAGCCCTTCAGGCATTCATGTGTGAGTACCATTGCTTTAAATATGCCATATAATGCTATGGGCTAAAAATACTATTTAACTCATCAAAACTGATTAACTTTGTTTACAGGTTTGACACATCAGGTAGAATATACTGAAATCACAAACAACACTGGGTCTGAGAATCAAAATAAAGTAAGCAATTATTTTAATTACTTTAGGGTAGAGCAATACAATGATCATTTCATATAAGAGACTACAGATCTTTCCACAGTGGAGATTTTGTCTTACTTTGTATTCCACAAAATATATTTATTGTTACTTGATATAGACATTTATTCACTACTTTTTGTTATCATTACATACAGGATGGATCCCATTCAACAAATTTCAGTGTTGAATCCTCTGATGGCACAAACAACCAGAGTATGGTTACAGATCTTGCTGACACTGCTCCCAGTAACCTGCTGCCTTCATCTCCGACAACAGAAGAGGAATTTTCTGATTGTGGAAAGGTAAGAAAGGGTTTAATTACTCAAGAACAAGGTTCCCTTTCTCAGGAAATGTCAGAGGATGATGACCAACCACCAGGGGGAGAAGAAAGTGCAACTGAAGTACCCCACAGAAAACCACCTTCGACAACTGACATCATATTTAAAATGTCATCCAATACTGCACATGTGTGTATGACAAGAAAAACTGTTGTCTTTACTGTGAGAAGCTTTACTCAAAAATAACAAGACATTTAAAACAGAGGCACTCAGACAAACCTGATGTGGCCAAGACGCTTGCACAAAAGCAAGGATCAAAAAAGCAGTCCTTGCTTTTTAGTAAAATAAGAAACATGGGAAACTTCCAACCCAATTGTTCTGTTACAAAGTCTGGAAAAGGACAAATCATTCCAAAACGGCAAGCAACATATCCAGCAGCTGCATCCGACTACTTTCCTTGCAAGTTTTGCTTTGCTATGTATGTCAAATCAGATCTCTGGAGACATCATAAGCACTGCAAACTTCGCTCAAAAGAAGACATTGCCACAAGAAATGTTCAGGCAAGTTCTTCCATGTTGCTGCCCACGAACACTGTGATTTCCACTGGACTTCAGACGGTTCTCCAGGAAATGAACTATGACAATGTAACTCAATTATTAAAGGCTGACTCCCTTATTATTTCACTGGGTGAGAGAATGTTCCTCAAAAATGGAGAAGTTGGACCGCATCGAGCAGACATCAGAAATAAGATGAGGGAACTTGCCAGACTTGTTCTGACAGCAAGAAATATTGACAAAGACATTGTCTTTTTGAAATACTTGATCTGTCCAGGAAAATTCAACACAGTCCTCGAGACTGTAAAACAGGTGACTGGCTTTAATGCAGTTTCCAACAGGTTCACAGTGCCCTCAACTGCACTGAAACTGAGGCATTCTCTTGTGAAAGTGTCATGTATTTTGCAAGGAGAGGCGCTGCGTCAAGAGAATCTTGATTTAAAATCAAAAGCACAGCAATTTGTCGAGTTAATTGAACTGGAATGGTCAACACATGTGTCATCTAATGCCCTGAAAACACTGTATCAGAAGAAATGGAATACGCCACAAATACTGCCTTTGTCAGAAGACATCAAAAAGCTCCAGGACCATCTGAGAAACCTTGAGATAGTCCACAAAAGAAATCTCAATGATCAGCCAACACAACATTCATGGAGTCAACTCTCTCAAGTCACTCTGACACAGCTAATACTGTTCAATCACCGTCGTGAAGGAGAAGTCTCAAGAATGGAACTCCGAACATATTTAGAAAGGAGCACACACTGTAAGTACGATAAAGTTTGGAGAGCCTTTCAGCATTTGAAAAAAAACTTTGTGAGAATCTCACCAGAGTAGAGATACGGGGAAAGACGGGCTGCAAAGTGCGTGTGCTGTTCCCAACAAATATAAAAGAGTCTGTGGATCTTCTGATTAAAACGAGAGAAGAGGCTGGAATCTCCTCCACCAATCCCTACATTTTTGCTCTTCTATTTTTTGGATCCCAAGAGAGCATTTGTGGATGTGACTGCTTAAAACGGTTTGCAGAAAGCTGTGGAGCTCAACAACCACAGAATCTCACGTCAAGCAAACTACGGAAGCATGTAGCTACAGTTTCACAACTCTTAACCTACAAAACCATAAACTAGACCAGCTGGCAACATTTATGGGCCATGACATGGAAACCCACAGGGAATTTTACAGACTGCCTGAAGAAACACTCCAACTGGCAAAAGTCAGCAAACTTCTTTTTGCTCTCCAAGGTGGGATGAGCAAATTTAAAGGGAAATCCCTAGAAGAGATTACACCAGACATCAACTGTAAGTAAAGGATTTAAAATATGTCTCTTTTGAATTAAATAATGCAATTTGTTAGCAAAAAATAAATGTGTTTAAATATTTTTTGAAAACATTTTGTTACAGCTGCGGACTCCAGTGACTCCGATGCAGACTTTCAAACTAAGGGAACGGTTAACAACAGTCAAAAAGGTAAATTTTCCCACTCCTGTGGTAAAGGAAAACATCTGCACTTAATGAAGTTTTTAAATTATATTGTTTTAATCTGATGTAAACTTTTCATTGCCACATATATTTTTTCAGAAACTTCCAAGGTTGATCACGGCAAAGTGAGACCATCATCCAAAGCGACTGAGGGCAGGAAAAAGGCATCATGTCCATGAAGTCAAAAAGGTATGTTTATTCAGTCCTTTCCATAATATCCTGTCTGCAAAAAAACTTGACTTTTATTTCCTAAATTTGGTGTTGGTGATTTTTATAATCAATTTATTCATTCTTTTCTCTCATTTTCTTACAGGCAAATCCAAACGGCAATGGACGGAGGCAGAAAAAAAGATTCTCATTCACCATTTCAAGGACTCCTTAAAAGAAATGAAGATCCCTGGGAAAGCAGACTGTGAGAGATGCTTGAACGACAATCAGATCCTAAGGGATAATGGGAGAAATTGGAAAGCTGTGAAATATTTTGTACACAACAAAATAACAGCTGTGAAGAGGACTTTGTGCCAAGAATGACAGCGCAAATGCTTGGAACCATGTATTCTTTCACATAATCACAAATATTATGAAGCATCAATTTTTTGTCCCTGAAAGCTGACAGCTTCTTTAATGGAGCATCAGTGTTTTGGGCTCCAATGCTGGTAGCTCGCATTACGGAGCATTAGCATTTTATGCCTAAAAGCTGATAGTTTACATCAGGGGTCACCAACCTTTTTGAGACTGGGAGCAACTTCACGGGTACAGAGCAACACGAAGGGTACTTGTTTGATGCAGCCTTTATAAGTATATAAAAAAAATCCCTTCTCACCCACCGCGGGTGGTTCTTATCCTCTGAGCTCGGTCCTCTACCAGAGGCCTGGGAGCTTGAGGGTTCTGCAGTATCTTGGCTGTGCCAAGGACTGCACATTTCTGGACTGAGATGTCTGATGTTGTTCCTGGGATCTGTTGTAGCCACTGCTCCAGTTTGGGGGTTACTGCCCCGAGGGCCCCGATGACCACAGGCACCACTGTGGTCTTCACCTTCCAGGCCCTCTCCAGTTCTTCCCTGAGGCCCTGGTATTTCTCCAGTTTCTCGTGCTCCTTTTTCCTGATGTTGCAATCACTTGGTATTGCTACATCTACCACAACGGCTTTCCTCTGTTGTTTATCCACTACGACAATGTCTGGTTGGTTCGCCATTACCATTCTGTCTGTCTGGATCTGGAAGTCCCACAGGATCTTAGCTCTGGCGTTCTCCACCACCTTTGGGGGTGTTTCCCACTTTGATCTTGGGGTTTCCAGTCCATATTCTGCACAGATGTTTCTGTACACTATACCTGCCACTTGGTTATGTCGCTCCATGTACGCTTTCCCTGCCAGTATCTTGCACCCTGCTGTGATGTGCTGGACTGTCTCAGGGGCCTCCTTGCACAACCTACACCTTGGGTCTTGTCTGGTGTGGTAGATCTGGGCCTCTATTGCTCTGGTGTTTAGGGCCTGTTCCTGGGCGGCCAGGATGAGGGCCTCTGTGCTGTCCTTGAGTCCAGCTTTTTCCAGCCATTGGTAGGATTTACTGATATCAGCCACTTGGGTTATTTGCTGGTGGTACATCCCATGTAGGGGCTTGTCCTCCCATGATGGTATCTCTGGCACCTCAACCTCCGTTCCCTGTTGTCTGAGACATTCACTGAGCACATTGTCTGTTGAGGCTTTGTCCCTGATGTATTTATGGATCTTAGTTGTTTCGTCCTGGACAGTGGTTCTCACACTCACTAGTCCTCTGCCTCCTTCCTTGCGGCTCGTGTACAGTCTCAGGGTGCTGGATTTGGGATGGAACCCTCCATGCATGGTTAGTAGCTTTCTAGTCTTAATATCTGTGGCTTTTATCTCCTCCTTTGGCCAGCTAATTATTCCAGCAGGGTATCTCATACCATGAGAGATACTAAGTTGCATAACATGCCGGCTCAGACGTCGCCCGGCCAAACAAGGTCTGCGTCAGTTGTTGGGGAACCAGAGCACCTTGATGACAAATGGGCTACTGGAACAAGACGGAAATGGGCGAGAGAACATATATATATATATATATATATATATATATATATATATATATATATATATATATATATATATATACATACACATACATGTTGAGAAAAATAGGAGCCGATAGAAACAGAAAATGATCAGATTGAGAAAAACTGATCAATATTTCAATGAAATCTGATGAATGAAATAAAAAAATAAGAAAAACAACATCTTGATATTCAGTGTGAAGCTTTGACTGGAAACAAAGAGATAATCCTGGAATAATCCGGGAATAATCCCAGCTTCCATCTTTAAAGAACTGTGTTAGGGTTAACACCTGTTGAACATACTTAAACAAAAACAGAAAAGACAAGAGTCAGTTATTCTTTCTTACTCGCGAGGAGAACGGACAGAGATGTGCTTCAGTTACAATCTCCTACCGCTCTGAAACACATTTGTCTGCTCCTCTCTTTTTATTGTTTTCAGGATCCCTAATCACAAGGACACTGTAGCTCTAAAGAAAGGGGAAAACAATTCATCACACAGCTACAGTGCCAGTTCTTATTTCCTAACTAAGTCAAATACTCAAGACCAGGAGACTACAATCCCTCTGGGATCTGTATTTCTTTTATCTTTGAATCAAGGAGTCTGTCACCTCGGAGACGGATGGCCAGAGCGACACCCAGCCTGGTAGGAAGAATGGGTCGTTTGCATACAATCCAGAGTCTCAAGACCTGAACTTTACGACCCCAGAGAGACAACAAACAACTGCAATCTCAGGAAATGCAAAGACAGTACCTTGAGAATGTGTATTGTGTTTGCCACTCCTTCTATGCAACACAATTATCTTGCACGTGATAATCTCGTTCCGTACACATATGGTAGTAAATCTTCACAGTAACAGTTTTACAGCATTCCAGCAACTCAACAAAACAGAGCACTTCACCAGAAATAACCCTTCAGGAAAACACTATCTCTGCTTAATGATCAGAGTAAATCAACAACATAGAAACATTCTTAATCCTATAATGAGATTAACTTAAAGGAAAGCATAAAATAAAGATACATTGTAAAGATCAATGAAATAACAAATATTTGATTAATTATATCACAATTTCTCCAACAGACTGGAAGAAGAAAAAGTTTCCAAGGACTCAATCAGAATCGATTCACCAAGAAATAGATTGTAGAGACTGAACTATCTGTTCAACAGTGAGAGAGTTTCTCTGACAGGAGGAAAAACTCAAATCAGTTCAGAAACACTGAGGAACCAGAACTGGGCCACCAGAATCGAAATCCAGGAATCAGAGGTTCAGTGAATGTGGTGTTGAAGGTGTGGAGGAGGATCAGTGAGTCAGAGAGACTCTGTAGAAGGACAGAATGCCAGCAGGACAGTCCACATACACTGCTATTCTGTTAGAGTCAGAGGAGAAGGAGAGACGAGTTTCTCTGTTATTGTGACAGACAGAGTAACCATCAATATCAGAGCAGCTCAGACTCCAGGAATGATCATTCCATCCAACACACAGTCTGCACTGTCGCCTTTCCTCCTGATTCTTCTGTAACTCACTGATATAAAAACATCTCCTTTCCACTCGACCTCCCAGTAACAGCGACCAGTCAGACCAGTTCTACACAGCAGCTGAGGACAGTTATCATATCTGTCTGGATGATCAGGATATGACTGAAGATCCTCCACATATGTCACCTTCCTGTTGTCTTCAGACAGTTTAAGTTTTCTGTTCACTGTGTTTGTGTCGATGGTGAGTTGACAGGAATCTGATAGAGAACAAACACAATCCAGCTGCAGTTATTGATCATTTATTGACACTTTGACTCCTGAATGAGTGATGTGACAGTTTGAAGATGGTTGAATGTGAGCTGCTTTGTTGTCATGAATCAGATGAAAACACACTTACATTTCCTCAGACCTGGAGTCAAGAATCGGCCTCCAGCAGGCTCCACCCTGAAAGGAGGAGGGGGGGTCAGACCATCAGTCTCTTTCAGCAGCAAACATGGACATTACATGTCTCTCAGACACACATTGTCCTCCACTGAGACAGGAACAGGCCAACATCTGGATTGCAAACTGCAGTGGATGTAGGAAGGACAGTTGGTGCTGCTGCAGCACAACTCATTTCTCCAAACACAGGAAAAGCTCCAACAGAGAGGAGAAAGGAAATCCCTCAGTAACAACCTGAAGAAACTCACTGAAGCCTAAAAGGACATCAGGAAACTAAGGAAACATTTCTGGAAGCTCCACCTGATTTAATAATCAGCATTAAAATACAATCAATCTAAACTCTGATCAACACCTGAATACCTGATCCATCCACACTCCCACACACAGATGAAGGAATGAAACACTAAACAGCCCTGCTGCTGAAAACCTGCTGTGGCCTCACTGTAATATCCAGAAATACAAACATTAAAAAGGAGAAGCTGCATCACATTCAACAAAGATTCAACAAGAATCAAAGATTTGATCTCTAGCATAAGAACCACATTAACATTTTTACTGCAGTGAAAGTAATAAAGTACTGGCTTTTATAAATACTTAAAGTATTAAAAGTAAAAGTACTTACTGAATGTATTATGTCATGGCTAATACAATATCATTAAATGTACCGATCATATTTAATTTGAATACATTAGTAATGAGCCATTTAATGAACAAATTGCAGATAAATCATGTTTTATTGTGTTTTCTCTCTGTGACAGTTTAGATTAAATTTGTGATTCTATGCATCAGAATTTCAGGATGACCTGCGTCTCTCTAGCATCCTTAACTACAGTCATTTTCAATAAATTACAATATTTATGAAAAGTATTTCAATAACTTGGCTCACAAGTTAAACACATCATACAGATTAATTCCCCACAAACTGTTTTAAAGCTTTTATTTGTTAATGATGATGATTTATTGCTTACAGCTCATGAAACCATTTCTGATCAGATTAAAGACCAATAAAAACAATTAATGAAGAAATGTGGGTCTAATGAAAAATATGTTCAATATCTGCTTTATTTGTTTTAAATCTGACAAACTAGCCTCATGGGAACCATATTCTAATTTACTGGATATGACTGTAAATGTAAATCTGATTCTTTCTCTTATTACGTCACATGCAGGGTCTTTAAGTATTTTTAAAAGCCAGTACTTTCTTACTTTTTCCAACATGTTGGGAATTTTTCCCAAACTTTATTGAACATTCCCAAAAGCTTTTCCAAGTACTGAAAACCTGAACACATTAGTCTTTTCTTGGATCTGTCTAAAAGGTTTTATTATTGTTTTTTAATTTCTACCAGTCAACAGAGAACAAATCTACTTTTTCACAATCATTCACTGCAATTCTTCATTTCCTCTGGAAAACAAGGGATTTCCATTCTCTCCTGATTCCTTTCATTCTTTGATCATTTTCCAGATGTCGCCCCCTGGTGGAGATAAAACTACTAAATGGATGAAACTGTTAAAATTTTTCACTTTCTTTCTTTGCCTCATGAATTCTTTTCTTCACTTTTTATGTCATTTATATTTGATTAAATCCTGAAAGTTGTGAGTTTTGTTTAACATCTAAAGTTATTTATTTTTCTCTCCCAGAACTTTAAACATCCATCTGACCAACATGGAGTTACTTTTCTTCTCATCTTTGCTTCTTGGGGCTGATTGGTCTGGAGCTCCATCAAATATTGTTTTAAAGTCTTTCTGCCATCAGTAGATCATCATGGAAATCTAACTGAACTTCTGTTATTAATTTAGTCAGAGTCCCTATTAAACTATTAAACCATCCCACTCTTTAATTTTCCTTGTGAGCCGTTCTTAGTCTGGAGAATATTCCAGAAAACTGGGTGATGATCTCTGCCTCCAGATGAGGCATCTAAATATTTAATGATCAAATTAAACATTCAGCTTCAAACTAAATGTTTCCCAGCAGACTGACTAAAGACATTTCTCCCTCTTCCTCCTCTATCAGACCTTCTCTGCTCCTGCAGCAGGTTCCTCCATACCTGAGAGCTTCCAGTCTCCAGTGTGGATCCTTCAGTCCAGCCGACAGCAGCTTCAATCCTGAGTCTCCTGGATGATTGTAGCTCAGGTCCAACTCTTTCAGATGGGAGGGGTTGGAGGTCAGAGCTGAAGCCAGAGAAGCACAGCCTTCCTCTGAGACCAAACAGCCTGATAAGCTGCAGACACACAATTCATCACATGATGAGAAAATGAGAACATTGAGGTAGAAACCAGGTCTGAACGGATGGATGGATATCCATCCATCCATCCATCCATCCATCCATCCATCCATCCATCCATCCATCATTCAGACCTTGGATGGATGGATGGATGGATGGATGGATGGATGGATGGATGGATGGATGGATTGTAACATGTGGAATAAATAAGAAAGCCAACCAACACTGCTGGGATCTGTAATTATGCTTCTTTTTGCACCTAAGATGCAGCAATTTGTCAAGAGTCCAGAGTTACCTGAGAGTTTCCAGGTTGCAGTTTGGACTCTTCAGTCCAGCAGAGAGAAGCTTCACTCCTGAATCCTGCAGGTTGTTGTTACTCAGGTCCAGTTCTCTGAGACTGGAGGACTGGGAGCTGAGAACTGAGGACAGAACTTCACAGCTTCTCTCTGAGAGGTTACAGCCACTCAGTCTGAGGAGACAGGGAGGAAATCTGTTATTAAACAATTCTACAAAATTGATGTTGTTTCAAATCAACAATGTTTGTTTGGACAGAGAAGGATCAATCTTATTTTACACAACCTTTGCATTAGTTGTGAACTGGTTCAGTCTATAGTTGGACCTCCAGCCTTAAAGGACTGAACTACAGGCACAATGAGGTTGGAAAGAGCATCTTAAAATTCCACAAAATTCCTATTTCATTTTTAACAATGCAGAGTTTTGCTGCTTTGATATGTACACTATATCCAGCTGCTGAAGGAAGTCTGTTTTTTTTTTTTGCCCCCCCCCCTCCCCCAATGGGACACTTTGAAGAAACATTGAAACATGAATATTTCCCTCATACTTAA